CACACACCATGATAACAGTCACCCCTTAATCTTCCTCTCATAATATTTAACAATACTTCGTTTCGTTTCTCCCCTCAGGTACGGCCACTAGCAGCAGCTGCTGGGGACAATTTTTCCCGCCGCCCCCTGTACCAACTGCCAGTCACGTGACGACGATTCCCCCCACCATTCCGAATGACGTCTGCCTGTCTGTCTGTCTCTCACCTCTCGGTGTGGCCATGTCGACCTCAAGTTCGACTAGCACCAGCCCCCGTTACTTGACTGACGGCAGACGTAGGAGAGGGAGGACTGCAGACCAACATCTTCTGTCGTCGTCTGCTGAACTCTGACTGACTGGAGGCGGGAAAACGACGACCTGGGCTGGGGTGTCATCTGTGTGTTTTAAATGTCCGCGTTTTGTTTTTCTTGTTTTGGTATTTTCCGTGTTTGTGTGTGTGGTTGTTTTTTCTTTTTCTTATTAACGTTCTTTTTTTTAAAATTATATTGATCCTGGACGTCAATAAATCCGTTCGGATCACTCAGCCTGTGTTATTTTTTAATTATTTTTTTTGTGGACGGTTGGCGGATGCTCAGATATGGTTTGCTTTTTCTTTCCTAGCAAACATCTATCGTCCTGATCTCACCTCCTTTTTCGTAAGTCAGGATGTACAATGTATCTCTCTAGTCACACTACCACTTCTCATCCTCGGCACTCATGTGACCTACATGTAATTGTGTTACAAGTGCCGTAAAACTCTTACTAAAACTAAATTTTCTTTAATTGTTTGCTCTTTTTACCTGCTCTGGTGATGTACCTAAGCACTCAGCGGCGACTTCAGGTGGTGTAGTGGTGCTGTGGTGATGGCGCTGGGGTCGTAACTGGAAAGTCATGGATTCGAACTCTGTCAGAGACCCGATATTTTGTCCTTTGGAAAAGCACTCATGACGCAACACGTTTTTTCTCATGTCACCCAGGTGGGAATGGGTATTCAGATATAAGCTGCGAAAACGTGTTATATGTCTGGAGTGTGTGGTTGATGGGTGCTCTGGTGTGGTTTGCTCCACCTTCACTATCAAACATCTATCGTCCTTGTCTCCCTACTTTCTTTTTTGTGTTTGTTACTCTGTTGTAAGTTATTTTAACTCCTCTAATCCTCAGCACTTAAGTGATCACTTTATTGTGTTGCAAGTGCTGTTACAAATATACACCCATACTATTAAACTAAGTGTCTGGAAGCTTTTGAGATGTGCTGAAGGCAGATCGCTACCTATAAAGTACAAAGTTCTATTTGCTCAGTACCCAGTTTTGAGAAATTTGACATCAAAGATTTTGACGTATCCGGGTAGCGACCGAAAAATTTTCATCTCTAAAATTGTCTCCTTTCACTTCCTTTCCTGCTTTCTAGCAATTTTCTGTTGTCTGCTTTCA